ATGGACACAAAATTGGTCGGCCGACGAAAAAAGAGGTCAAAATCGGGCAAGACAACGACCGATAAGCTGCCGACTGTCGCCCGAAGAATTCTATTTTTGCCTCAAAAACCGTCGGCCGTTGGTCGTTTTTGGAAATGTGACTGGGATTTTACTGTTGCCTGATTGATTCAGTCTATAATAGTGGATTAAACTTTTGCTTTTTTTTTTGGTTTGTTTTTGTGTGTGGGGGTGTGTGTGTGAGGGTGTGTGTGTGTGTGTAATCCTTCATTATTTAGAAGAGTATACACGATAGTTCATTTTAGAGGATAAAGGAAGTAAGAATTTGGGAATGAAGCACTAATCAGGAAGAAGGTTTTGGAAAACAACACAAATAGCACGGAAAGGAGGGAAACTCTGGCAGCATACCGCGAACGCCATCACTAGGTTTATTTAAGACAAAATGTTGCTGATGCCGTTGACCATGCAAGAAACGGTCGCCTCTCAAAGCACTAACAGTAGATTGTTGGAACAATTTAAACCCACTACCAGCTGACAGCTGGCCCCAGGATCATGAAACATCTTAAGCTTAAGTCAAAATCTTTATGTTGTACAAAAATGTTGTAGAAGTCAAACAGAGCAAAATTAAAATATTCTAGAATACTGCTTTACAAAAGTGTTGTTAACTGCAAATTTAGAGATTAATTCAATAATTAATATACAATTTACAGACCATTGAAAATTTGACTTCCTGGGGCCTGGTCGATAAATTGTATCGCTCAAAAGACCGGTCATTTTAATAAGTTTACTGAATGTACGCTCCACTGACGCCTAATTTCGGGCGTCCCTCGACGTCTGCCAGCCTGATTTTGGAGCCTTGAATGTCGTTAAGGTTGCCATGACTGTCTGTTGATTGTCGTACGCTGATCCGTGATCAGTCATCATGCTATAGATACAAATTGTTAACGAATCACATTCTGACGGCAGAAAATTATAACTTGGTCCAACAGATAAATGGTCGGTCGAAGAAATAACTTAAAAAAGTCCCATTAACCGTCAACCGCTGATCGGTTTTAGAAATATGACAGAGGCAAGAACAATCTTAATGAATAAAATAAAGCTTCCATTAATCTGTTAACCTATCTACTTAAATTATATTGAAAATCAAAACTTCAATACACTAGCTGTAGAAAAATTCTTTGAGAAATATTCAAATTACAGATAGTTTATAATTTATTCATTTCTGTACATGACTTACCCTTGTCATGAGTGTTCCTTAAACTAAACACTTTTGTCAACAGATTTTAGAATTGGAGAAGTCAGTCGAGACTAACCCGAGAACTTCATTTTTTTCTGATTGGAGTTACATTGTAAATATAGATTTAAATCTGCCACAAATTTACTCGTTTGTATACAAGGCATGCACGTAAAGATTTTCCTACTTCCATTTAATAAAGATATGTATTATTACTAGCTAATGAGCTAGTAATGATATATATCTGCAGCTAAATATCAGACTGGTTAAATATATTAATGCAAAATGATCTTTATAAATTGCTACTACTATCGTTTACTGATTTTTATTTGGGAATTAAAATAAGTATGTAGTCGTGTACTTATTTTAATTTCCAAATAAAAATCAGTAAACGACCCTACAATAGAATGCTTTCTTTGTTCATATGGAAAAGAACGTTTGCAACTAATGCAGAAAAAATAAATTAACGTGTATGCAGGGTCATTATTAATCATATCAAAATTCAAACCTCTCCATGTATAGTGTTCCTTGGGATAAGTATGGACCCTAATGAGGATCTTCTCTAAAACTAACAGGAATATATAATAATGAAAACTCTAAAACTAACAGGAATATATAATAAGGAAAACTTTGAAGTAGACATCTACATGCACCTCTCTATATGTAACGTATGTTTCGACCAGATTATTTTTATTTCGAGCAGGTCCATTCTCAAGTAACTCCTCAGCATTTGACTATATACACATAGGAAGTGACCTTTAGCTTTAATCATGGTAAATATTTCTCAAAACGCCACTTTAGGGGCCAATTTGTTTGTCTGCAAATACCTGCTGTGTTTACGCGAGGACTAATTTTTTTAAAAAGATTTATTAGTTATCTGTAAAATGCTACAAGTGAAAGTATATGTATATAAGATTTCAATTTGGTTAAGTCGCCCGCATGGTGGGTTCAACTCCACTGCGAGACGTGGAGGCCGGTCCTTCTGATGAGACCGTATAATCTGAGGTACCGTGTTGCAGAAGGTGCTGGCACGAAAAAGATCCCTCATTGCTCAAAGGCCGTGAGTGCCTAGTACAGGTCTAAATTTTGCAACCCTCCAACGGCAAAAGGTGGCGTCACAATATGAGTGAACAATTCTCGAAGGGACGTTAAACAAACAAATGTATGTTAATGGAGATTTTTCAGAGACCTCTAGCGTAAAAAGTGGGTTGTTGACCTACTTACTTGAAATGAGAAAACAGCACAATAATCATAAGTCTATGATATATAATATCTCGTTTTTCATTGACATCAGTGGTATTCTTTTGCCATCTGAGTAAATGTCATCCTTAAACCTTTTACGTTAAGATGTCTTTATTTCTGAACTTATTTGAGACAACATGCATGAATATGATGATGATCAAGGAGTCCTCCACAAACTTTTTTTTTGATCACACAAGTCCAAGGTTGCATTCTCCGTTGGGGCCAAAGTGTCAAAATGACCATAGCTGGAGAAACTCATGATACTCAGTTGACCGTAAAGGCCCATGGGCCTTTTGTTATATGTATGCTATATTGAAAAATATTAAAAGTATGAATCTTTGACAATTGACATAATTTAATTATTATAAGAAAGATTCTACATACTCTACAGCCGCTATCTGCAGAAAGCTAGAATTTATAAAGTTCTTGTATTTAACAACTGTCACATGCTTATCTGTAAAATGTAGGTTTCATAGGAACATCTGATCTTAATCAGGTGAACATGTCGGTATGTTAAGTCGGTCACCTGAGGAAAAGTTTGAGATATTTTATTGAGACATAATTTTATACAATTTAATCACATTATTTATTTCGTGTATTAAGTACAGAGCAGGGGCGTAGCTTCCATTGTGGCAATGAGGCAACTGCCTCACTAGATTTTTCACCACCACCACCCCTTCCCATAATCAAAAATACATTGCAGATAATACGTAAAATTAATGGCAATTCTTTTAACATTTTAAGCAGTTCTATAATGTTGAATTGAAGTTTTAAAGAAATGAAAGCAAAGTTTAATAAGATGAGCTTTCACCTTTAAATGTTTCAAAACTTTTAGTACACATATTTATTAACTCTTTTACATTCTTTTACAATATGTAGTATCATGCTGAAGTCTTAAAGAAACCAGTACAGTAAATGAAATTTCATTGCATTTTAAAACCCCCAACTCCATTTTCTGTCGGAGTACCCCCCCCTCCCCCCCATGACAACACCCGAAACCTGCTAGTGGCTTAAGGCGGCCCCAGACCTCTTGCTGCTACATGTATATATATGGTTTTACCTCACTAGAATTTAAAGTCAAGCTACGCCCCTGCAGAGATATAGAGTATTATGAAATAGTTTATTCTTTAGCCTATCTGGATAGGTTTAACACTCAACCGCTTTTTGCACACAATGTATAATGTATTACCACCCCCCCCCCCCCCCCCGGGCAAACGAAGTAAACGAAGGAGACACCATGATCGTTTCTCTGTCCGTTGACATTTTTTGGTCCAGAGATACCTAAAAAATATATGTAAATATGTTTAAACAGGTGCCCCTGGTACTTTAAGTTGATCTGTCATTTTATTTGTTTTTTAAGTCATTTTTAACATTTCTATTTTACATAACTTCTGTTTCAAATTTGAATAGAGTACAAGTAATTTCTTTCATAGCTTGGAAACCAATAGACTTATTCGAAAGCTCAGATTTACCAGCTACAAAGATAATTTATCTTCCTTACTTATCACTATATATGTCTCGACATTGTTTCAAGGTCATTTTGACGAGATGAAGGTCATAAAGTACAGAAGTATTAAATTATTGTCCTCCAACTTTGAAATGGAGAAAGAATAGAGATTGATACTTGAAGTAAAGTTGCTTACGATTTGCGGGTAAAACTCAGGGTAATTTAATTTGGATAAGGTCGCAGGTTTCAAAATTATAAAATTCTCGCCATGGCCATGATACGTACACAGAATTGTTTTACTACCTATAACTGTAGGTGTTTAACAACCATGCACCATCGTCTTTTGGAGGAGGACAAGATCACGGGTCCCTTGAAGTGCAAAAAATCTTGAAATAATCTTAAAGGTCATACTAGGCTTGAAACATGACCCCGAGCAAAGGTCAATGGCAAAGGATTTACGTGTCAAATTTGAAAGGTGTTTTCAAACGTCAGATATTTCGGACTAAAAAGTGGCATGGCTTAGAATTAGTTGAATGATCTATAGGTTATGACCTTTTACTGCTAGGTCTATGGAAAGTCCCATTTTCATATTCAACTCAAAGGTTACTCATGACCAAAGGTATTGCAACCTTCAATCATTACATTCCAGCAGATCCAGGTTACAGGAAATTGCAGAAAGCAGAGTTCTTTTTTAAGCTTATTTAAAATGTACGTACTGTCAAGTTGACCTGCGGATGACACTCGTTCCATCAGGGCAGTTTTAATTGTATTTAATTTATTTTGTATATTTACTATCGCTTTAAATATGTAAAATGCAAATTGATAAGAGATACTGAAATACATACTCTGCTTGAAACGACCAAGTGTGTACATGTGAATGGTGGTGAAATAAGACCACAGTCAATGTTTAACATTAGATAATTGCCGTAACGATGGAGATCATTTATCAGGACAAAATCAAGGTACTTGTATACAACACAGTAAGTCAGCTGTCCCACAACGTATGAATTCCCGTGACCAAAGATAAGGCATCCGCCCCGCTTCTAAACTGCTAGATAAGCAGGATAGTAACAGTCTACTCTGTGTAAGTGCTAGTGTACCATCATGAGGTCCCTCTTGGCTGTTCTGTTTCTGTGTGGGGCCGCCCTGTCCCACCCGGGTTTCCGTCTCCTCATCCCTAATGGCATTAATGTCCCTAACCCCTGCATTAATGTAGTCGGTTTATGGAATGCAGTTGGACACAACATAGAGATCGGAGGTGGACCAGGAAATGTTTTCGGAGCGGTAATATTTGATTTTCATTTGCATATAGTATCTTATTTTAAAAAAACACTAATTCATTCCTTTTTTAGTTTTCGTATGACATTTTATTAAGATTAATTAATTTTCATCTATTCAAATCATGCCATGTATATAGGTCCTGAAAGATACAATTCTAAACTTACAGGAACAGTACCCCGAAATGATTTTCTAAATAGAAAGTAAAAAAAATAAGGAATATACTTCCAACTCATCCCTACATATCCGTGCTATTCGAGAGATCGATGTTTCAGCTATAGATAATAATATATATCAAGTTCTTTTAACCACTAAAAGAGTTTATAGATGTTAATTCATTGTCAGAGTTCACACGATGAACGAAAGATTGTATAACATGAAAACATTCAAAAAAAAAACAAAAAACTACTGTAACTGTAAATCACTAGATTTTCGTGTCACCTTATTTTCGCGAGATTGTTTTTGGTATATATAAGCGAAACAAAATTTTCACGAATTTTGGTTATTATTTTATTTAATATTTAATTTATAGAAGAATGAAAATGAAATGAAAATGAAATTTTTGAGAGCAGATAGCCTCGCGTACTTACGCTAAAATAAAGTTATCGCGAGTAAAAACTTATTTACAGTACATGTAGTCAGATGTATAACAGAGAGGAATTTGTCCTTGTGATTTCAGGATTTCGTGGCGGCCAATACTCAGTGGACCAAGGACTTGTGTCAGAAAGACTCCGATATGGACGGCAAGACAAACGGTGAGGAACTGGGAGACCCGAACTGTGTGTGGAAGCAGGGGGACGCTCCAGCAGGGGATGCAACTGGTCACCCAGGTATGACTTCTCTAGTGTATAAACTGGTGGACTAACTAAACGGCGGGGTAGATGGAGAAGGGGATATAATTTAATCCTCTTTTATACGTTAAACAAACGTGATTTGGAAATACAAGATTCCTTTCTTGATAACATTAAGATTTTCACATTTATTTAATGTTAATGTGAGCTTTAGGGACAAATTTTATTGAAAAGGGGAACAGATTAAACATTCTTCCATTTAAAGTGTGTGTGTGTATGGGTGTGTGTGAGGGTGAGGGTGTGTATGTGTGTGTTACTCTAGAATAAATGTATTATTGCAACTTGAAATAACAATGATTGTTATTCATTTTGTCCGCTTCTGTGGGTATAGTACGTACATATACATGCGTGTATTTAGCTACAATTTAGGTAAAATTTGTTCAAGGGTGGTTTTCATTCTAAGAGAATCCTCTCTGTATTTTCAGGTATTTGTGAGCCGATGTCTGATGCCAATTGTATGAAGATTAATGCCAACATAACCTGTATATAATCATGCCAATTTCCAATTATTCATCGTGTACATTATTGCACATTTCATTAATTAGTTATTTTGCACTAAATGTGTCATGGTAGTGTATACAGAATATGTAGAATGTACATGTATTAATGTGTAGAAATGAGAGTATTAAATGAATGAACAAGATGTGTTTGTGAAACACTGATGCCCCCGTATGGCAGCTTATGGCGAAGGTTAAAGTTTCTTCAAATGCAAGTCAAAATCCAGGCCAAAAGATAAGAAATGTTGACACCCAAAGAAAGGTCTTGTCTCGAGGAATACACCTATGAAATTTGAAAGACCTAGATACAACTGTTCAGAAGTTATGGCGAAGGTTAAAGTTTTTTGAATAAAAGTCAAACGTCAAGGTCAAGGTCAAAGTGGTTGGTATCCAAAGGAAGATCTTGTCACAAGGATTACATATGTGAAGTATGAAAGCCCTAGCACCAACCATTCAAAAGTTATGGCCAAGGTTAAAGTTTTTCAAAAGTAGGTCAAACTCCTAGGTCAAGGTCAAAGGGTCAAATAGGTTGGTATCCAAAAGAAGGTCTTGTCACAAGGATTACATATGTGAAGTATGAAAGCCCTAGCATCAACCATTCAAAAGTTATGGCCAAGGTTAAAGTTTTTCAAAAGTAGGTCAAACTCCAAGGTCAAGGTCAAAAGGTCAAAGTGGTGGTTGGTATCCAAAGGAAGGTCTTGTCGCAAGGATTACATATGTGAAGTATGAAAGCCCTAGCTCCAACCATTCAAAAGTTATGGCCAAGGTTAAAGTTTTTCAAAAGTAGGTCAAACTCTTAGGTCAAGGTCAAAGGGTCAAAGTGGTTGATATCCAGAGGAAGGTCTTGTCACAAGGAATACACATGTGAAGTTTGAAACCCTAAGCACCAACTGTACAAAAGTTATGGCCAAGGTTAAAGTTTTTCAAAAGTAGGTCAAACTCCAAGGTCAAGGTCAAAAGGTCAAAGTTGTTGGTATCCAAAGGAAGGCCTTGTCACAAAGAATACACATGTGAAGTTTGAAACCCCAAGCACCAACTGTTCAGAAGTTATGGCTAAGGTTAAAGTCTCATAAAATTTTGCAAAAGTAAGTCAAACTCCAAGGTCAAGGTCAAAAGGTCAAATATGATGGTACCCAAAGAAAGGTCTTGTCACAAGGAATACACATGTGAAATATGAAAGTCATAGCTCCAACCAATCAAAAGTTATGGGCAAGGTTAAAGTTGACAACAGACAGACAGACAAACAGACAAACGGACAAACAGACAAACAGATAAACAGACAAACAGACAAACAGATAAACAGACAAACAGACAGACAGGACAAAAACAATATACCCCCGGGATCTTTCGATCCGGGGGCATAAAAATGTTTTGTTTTATTCACCTTCATTTTTTACAGCAGCTTGTTTATGTTTAGAACTTTAATATGTAATCTGAACATGCAAATATGTTCTCCTTATTGTCGATGCAAGTTCGCTCCAGACAATGTTCTGGGTAATGTTATACAGTATGGAATCCAACAATATTCTCTCTCTCTCTCTATATATATATATATATAAGGAATGAATTTAATAGCTACCCAAGTTATACTGATATAACCTGGGTTGGGGCAGTTTACGCTTTATAAACCGCGAAGCGGTTTATAATAAAGCGTAAACTGTTCCAACCCAGGTTATACAAGTATAACTTTGGTAGCTATTAAATTCATTCCTTTTAATAACTTAATTTTCCATCATTAAGTGTAGAAAATAATTTTTCCTTCAAAAATGCCTTCAAAATGTACACATTTTAAATATAACGTCAAGCGGATTGGTACGTTGTTGACGTAAGTCAATGTGACGTAGGCAAACCAGGTTATACGATATAGTCTGTTTTTTTTTTATTCATTCAAATGACGCGTTACAACTAAAATTAAATTATATATATATATTTGATTACCATTGAACACAGCGTACATACATGCATACATGTGTACCCCGGTATAATGATAACACAGGTGACTTTGAAGCCATTGTGCATCTTAACCATGCCTTTCCGAGAAACAGAAAAACAACGTCGAATGTGTTACAAAGGTATCCATATCCACCCCCTTCTCATCATAAACAGTGAAATAAATGTAGGGTAACCTCTTATCTGTAGTGTCATGTTGTAAATTTGGAATTTACTGCCACCCGGTTAATTCAAAATTTACAATATGTCAGCAGAGTCTAGCACGAAACGTCATGAAATGCAACGATATCAGCTTAAATGTTCCTCAGAGGAGACAATCAACCCTGTCTAATCAATACTTTAATTAATTATGCTGTAGTGAAAAGTATTTCTCACGTGAGCGATGTGGCCCATGGGCCTCTTGTTTTACATGTACATGAAACTGTGTAAACATAGTTTATAGATGTATATGTTTTGTATTGCACACTCGTGGTTTTGGTTATGCATTTGATTTTTTATTTCAATAAATAATTGTTAATATATTTGAATAATACGGTGGTCACAAAACGAGATTTTGCGAAAGTTTCCAAAAGTCGCTGGTAGATATGATTTGTCCCAAGAATGTTAAATTAAGTCACGTTCACTTAAATCTATTTATTGCATATCATCATAATTAATTTGTACTTGGAAGTGTACTTTTACACAGTTTTTGGAGTACATTTCTATATAAATATTAATTAATTCACATCTCAACGTATTGTAATTTCTTTTCTGCATAGTTATGTGGCATGTTAATATACCGCACATATAAGCTGCATGTTCCTAGGGGCCCAAAATACTATCCTACAGTGTATATTTGACATATACTTTTGATTATCTTACACCTAACAATCGAAAATCCATGGAAGAACTTGCAGATTGGGTTAGAATTAAGTCACCATAATTAAATATAAATTAGCGACTCTTTTGTCTCAAACAGTTTGATATTTACATGTATGTTGTGCTTCACATTTTTCCCTCTACCGCAGGACCAATGACCATTGTTCTGTTCAGTTGGATTGCCATTTCATGTAGAACTGCTTTCATATTTCTGTTAACGAAACGTTGTGAATTAACGATAAGGCGAAATTCTAAGGTATCTCTTTATATTGATAAAATATTTTCCTTTTTAATAAGCAAACAAAACATAAAATGAACAAATTAAACAACAACAAAATTAAAACTATATATTGTTAGTAATTTGTATCAAAGAGTAATCTTCGCATTACTTGTACTGATTTGTACTATGAACACTATAATAGATGGTTGTGACATATATAGTACACATGACACCTATTTCAGGAGAAGAATGCCATGCCCCTAATTGTTTGTTATGTCCAGTGCCTCGTGGGGAGATTGTTGGTGGGTTATATATTTAGTCAACTTTCCCGATATGAAAGACAAGGCACAGTATTATCACTTGTTACCGTCCAGAAAGATTCAAGGCCATTACAATCTGTACTCTAGACTTGGGCTGAAATGTTGTCAGGTGCCCTAACTGTGCTTTTCTTATCTTTCTCTGCGTTTGGACTTCCCGGCTATCGCTTGAAAATACCAAATGGAATAAATGTTCCCAACCCTTGTACCAATGTGTTTGGATTATGGAATGGAGTGGGACACAATATCGCGAACGGAGGGGGGTCACTAAATCCGTTCGGACAGGTACATGTACCCTAGAAAAAGTTTATGAGGGTGGCATTTTGCAAATGTTTTAGAATGTTCTGCTTAAATAAAGAAATTTAACAGCTTTTATCCCTTGTTTTGACAATTTAGGATTTTATGGACGCTAACTTTACCTGGACTCAGGAGCTATGTGGGAAAGACTCGGACTCTGATGGGAAAATTAACGGACTTGAACTCGGAGACTTTAACTGTTCCTGGTTTGAAGGACAACCTCCCATGGGGGACCCCACAGGACATCCAGGTACTAATTTATAGTATACTTAATATTGTACGAAATAATGGATATTGGGGATCCAACCGGGTTACCCAGAAATTAATTGCAGAAAAACACAGAACATGCTCTGGATGCACTGGACATCTTCCTAACTTTGTTTAACCATATATATATATATATATATATATATATATATATATATATATATATATATATATATATATATATGACACAGAACAGAATAATGCCTCTATTTTCTGAAGAAAGTAAATTGAGTCAAACATAGGGCAGGGTTTTGCATAGCACTTGTGCTTATAAACTATATAGTAGAGCTTTGTGAAACGTTCGCCTCAATACGTTCTATTTCCACTATGGAAGAGTTATACTTCTTAGTGAGCTCTTTCGTGAAAAAGTCGGTAAATGTACAAATCTCGCGGGATTTCAGGGACAAACGTAATGTAAACATGTAAACAGTATGTTGAATGTCGATGAACAAATCCTAAGAAAATGCAAATGAAATATTTTATTGTTGTGGACTTTATATACCTCAAGAGTAGGAATGACAACGATATCAATTTATATCTATATTGTTGATCGTATGTATCTATTTATCGTATGCTACATCTAAATACAATATACATGCCTCGGAAATGTCGTATTTTTTATTAATGGATGATAAATTTAGGGTTCTCGCTCTCTTACATATATCTTTTAGTTCTTCCATTCTTTAATTGGAATGACAAATACATTTAACATTAAAAATTGGATTGAGATTGGCATGTTTTATATTATCCGCAACGCCATGCTGTCCCTGTCAGACGACCAAACGCGCCTCTAATTTTGAAGAGTTCACTAATGGAAATATAACGTATTTCTTAAATATTGAATCTATCACAACTGAACATAATCAACGGATTTCTCCAACCAAGTTATTCATGATCTCAAGAAAGAGAAATGCACAAAAATGAAAAAGGAAACGAGTAGCAGTGCTGTGACCATTTTAAAGATAAGAAAATAGAATTTTTTGATATTGTTGCACAAGGTCTTCTGCAGTGAATTGGTGTGAAAAATTGGCTACAATAAGTAGCACTAATTTGGTAGTTAGATTACAAGATAAATAAAATGATAATATGGATATCATAATTTGCAACATATTTCCCGGAAAAGCGGGTAATTCCCCACATACTAATATGTCCGATACATTTGTACAAAATTATTAATAACCATTAAAATTAATTTATTGTATTTTTTGTTAGTGTTTTTGTTTATTTTATTAAGGACTCTCTGTGCATTTATTACACGTATCATATCTGTGTGCAGTTCAAAGAAATTAAAGTCACAACTTGTCAAAACTTGCGATTTCCACAATTCAACTGTATATTTTTTTCCAGGTATATGCGAACCAATGGACGATCCCAAGTGTTTAGAAATCAACAAAGACATTACATGTTTGTGAGATTGCAGAAATTAAAATGTCATAGTTTATTAATTTTCGTAAGCAGCGCTAAAATATTTATATTTTAGTTACAAATGTGATCTTTTTAGTTTTAATATATAACATTTATTTTATTCACCTTTTTTTTTTAATTGCATGACTACGCATTTTGCTTCAGCGATAATATAAACAGTTTTCTTTATAAATTTTGTTCTGGTGTTGTAGCTGAGTTTCTGTTTTTTTTTTTAAACCTGATAGGAAAATTTCTGATATAGATATATCACATAATTAATTCACAATTAGTCCACAAACTAAAACTGTAATTTTCATTAATACAGCAGTGTAATGGTTTTTTTTCCCCTTATTTTAACAAAAAAAATGTAACGCATTTGGAAAATAAATATATTTACTTCCATTTACAGGATATTAACAGATAAAAAGAAAACACGTAAATAAATAGGTGTATAATAATAACAAAAGGCAAAATACTAAAACAAGCATATAAAAAATACAATATCAGAAACTGGATTTTCCTGGGTTGACTGACTTCAAGTTTGAGATCCATCAAAATGATGTCCTAAAAAAGAAAGAAAATGATATGTGAAGACAAGTTTAATGTCATTTAGAAAACAAATTCTATACTACATGTAGGACATGTGTGGTTAGTTTGATAAAAGTAAAGATTATACAGAAAGAAAAAAGATTTTATTTTGATCATTGTTTTGAGTAAAATACACTTTAAATGAATAAATAAATAAATACCTTCATTATCATTCGATGCATCGTGATCACTTGGTGCTACGTACAAGGTTTGACCTTTTCTTCGTATCTGTAAAACATTTATTTTCATCATTTTGTAATTCTATGTTTGATGCCTTTTTTTTTTAATTTGTAAAGTACATATCATGATACATAAATAAAACGTCACTAATCATTGGTGTAAACACTTTGAATTAAGAGTCATTTTCTGTGACACGTGTCAACAAACAACGGGAATTATTTATTAATTAGAGGAATATGAACTTTCTCCAGAAAATACATTGAAAAGAACAGAATCGTCACTCATATAGATACGTATATACGTCATCCAAAGCAAGGGAAGTTTTTTCAGCACTTGTTTTGAGGAAATACCTGTCGACCTGCTAGCCCCTGGACTATATTTAAACTTTTTTTTTTTTCTATTTGCTATAGGGACGTTTTACTCGGAGATATTTTAAATTATTTTGAATTCAAAATGAATGCATTTTTCCCGAAAGTGTCTGGGACGAAAATGCTGCGTAAATCATTAGAATAAATTTAATGAATTGAAATACTTATAAAGAACCATTTACTGATAAGAAAAAAAAATGTCTGGACATTGAGAAAATTGTGAAGTATCTATACAGGTGTAAAAACTGAGTTTATTTACATTAATTTCATGTTTAACAATTATTCCTAGAAAAAGGTTCACTGACAAGAAGAAATCACTATTGCTTAAAAGAAAATGGGATATGCAATTCAAATATAAGTATTCAACTAATTTATTTTCGTCAAATAAATGGTAAAGAAGGCTTAATCGAATTGATTAAAAATTTAGTAAGGAACGTTATTTTATTTAGATCTAAGGCAAATCACACTTTTCATACAGTGCAAAGAAGTCCTTAAAAGTATTAGACATAATTATAATATACGTACGCTTTCCAGGCCTCGCATGCGTTCTTGTATCTCTTGGTCCCGTCCAGGGTACAATAGGGACTGTTTATATCAGGACACCGGAAATTCTCTCGGTTCTTAAGGTCCTTCGGTAACAGTGGTTGGGAGGAATACATTTGTAAACCTATAAACAGGTAAGATTTAGGACTTAGATATCAAAAATATGTAATTGTTCATTCTTGAACTGCAATAATTAAATTCTTTAGCAGCTATATAGATTAATGAAATTAAATAAAAAGTTTAATAATTAATTTAATGGAAAAAAAATTCTCACTTGAAAAAAGAATACAAGCAATCAATGCAATGTATATCATCTTCATCTTCTTATATAGGAATAACAATTTCTGTTTTTCTTTTCTCTATTTATACTGTGTCCAAGTCATTTGATTAATTTGCATAAATGGGTTATGCATGAATCGCATGTTCATCGTTACACCGGTTCTGTGGCCACCTTGCGTAATTCAAAAATCCCCATTCCTTCCTAAGATGAAAATAGGTCAGTGCAAATAATCCACTAAATAAATTTATGCGTCCACTCTGTGAAAAGTTTAATTAATTCCACCAATCAAACGACAGACATGGGATTGTCTTCCAGAACAACTAATGTTTTAGAGGTTACGGGAGGGTTTAAATAGGCACGTGTAGTAAATATTAGGATAAATATTTACCGACTTAATTAATTATATGCGGATGTTTAGTTTTTGTCAATGTATTTCCACATGTACATCATAAAAAAAGTGATACCATTCCTTTGTCATGAGTAAATTACAGAAGAAAAACCAACAACTTTTAATTGTCATATCATCTACATGTATTTCGACCGAGATTTAAAACAATTTATGTACAGAATGTCTCCACGAGTGCATAGGGATTGTTCCTAATTTAATTGAAAAAAAATCTGCCACATCACAAATGTAGATTTTTCTAAAACTTTCTCCTATTAATCAACAAAAGGCCCATGGGCCACATCCCTCACCTGAGCACTTTGGTTAAAGAAAAGCAGAAATCAATTCATTATTGAACAGTTTAAATTTATAAGTGGTGTCATTCTATCCCTGGAGGGGATACTTCTATATTTGTATGACTAATCATGGCTTTAAAAAGAGTTTTACAGATCTTCTCCTATACATGTTTATTCTTATACAACAGGTGCAACAGTATATTCGAGAAGTGGTGTAAATCAGATGTGGATACTAAAAAATTACAAGGAACGTTTAAAGTCATCATTTCGTAAGTTCTATGGTCGATACAATGACCTTGTCAGCAAATACAATCTCTCATTAAGTCAAATGCTGACTGAGTTTTTTCATACTATTTGTTAGGCCATTATTTACACACTGATTTGTCGACAGAATTTCCGTTATTTCCCGATCATGACAAGGAGCATACGGCGGATGTGACCGGTCGGCAGGGGATGCTCACTCCTCCATGGCACCTGATCCCACCTCTGATGTCTTAGAGGTCCGTGTTTGCTCTGCTCCTATTTTGTAATGTTTAATGGACTTTTTGAGCTCGAATACGGTTCGTTATCTCCAACATATTTCATGTAAAAGTTTGATTTTCTATTGTGGCCCAGCCCTATATATTTTTGTAAATAAAATGCATACAATTTTCAACATATCGTCAGAATAAAAATTGACAGGAATGGATTAAGTTGATAATTCTTTATTGAAAGGATCCCACTAAGAGTCATCTATCGTGCATCTTGGTATTTTGACACCCAAGCCAACGGGTGGGGAGGGGGCACACAAATCAGTAGTGAAGAATTTGATTTTCATTTGTTTTTTTTCCCCTGAATTTCCCATTTAATTCTTGAGGCTAGGATTGATTTTTAAGAATGATACAAAACTGTTCAATTATGACTTGCTGGACACAATTCTATTCAATTCCTTTTAATTTTGCTATTTTATCACGAAATAATTTCATTGTGTTTGTTATATGTATCCTCTGTGTGTGTGGCGGGGAGGGGGGGCAGATAGAAGCTTTTACCTAAAAACTTTGAAATCTAGCAATACTTTTAATCTATCATTATATTCTTTTTTGAAAATTAATATTTTTCAACGAATGTTACTAACAAGATATTTCTCTAACAAAAAAAAGTTAGTCCCTCATTTCAATATGTTATTTTTTAATAGTGAATTTTGTTGTAGTTAATTGAGGACCCAATGATATTATGTTTTTTTAGTATGGGACATTAGTAATTCACAGTATACAAATTAATGTCATGGAGTGTAAGTGCTTTAAATCAGGTTCGTAGAATAGCCACCTTATACATGTAAAAACTGTTATAAAAACACCAAAGTGTAAATTATGTTAAAGTTTTCAGTATACATATAGATAACTATAGATTGATATGGTATTTTTGTAAGGGTGGCGCTGCTTGGATTTCTTTTCATGTTGTCTTAAATCAAAAATTATGAATAATCCCTAACAAAAAAATAATACAGTAATCTATAGTTTTATTAACTATAGTAAAACATTGGTTTACTATTATAATAGTGAATCATTTGATAGTAGAGTTAACAGTAGTAAAGCATAGTTTACGATAGATAACTAGTTTTTACTATAGTAAATCAAAGTATTTACTATAGTTAATCAGAGTATTTTTACTAGGAATTTCAGATCGTTATATACATTTTTTTAATCTCTTGAAGCATTTTTCTTATAGTAAACAGAAATATTACTTGTATATTTCAATAGTATTTCAAAGATTTACATCATTGGTATGTAATTTATGAAATATTAAGGCTATAAATCTTCAAAAAAGTTCTAGAGTAAAGTTTCATAGTTTATAGTAAACTATAGTTAACCATAGTAAATGTTTGTTATGGATTTGCAATCATGTTAACAAATTTGAAAATTAAGACGGTTCTTTTGAAGCACAATGCATATCACTGTGGATATTTTAATTGTTTTTGTTGAGCCACAACTAGCGATATTTTTGCATATTAATTTAAAATGATTTTATTTATCATTTTTATAACGATACGATGGCTGAGACTGCCAAACAAACAGTAGGTAGGAGCAACCAATGTTATAATTTTTTTCTTTAAAATGGTACACCTCTCAATTTAGTGATTTTAAGAAATTTACGAGAAAATTAATGTAATACGTGTTTTTCTTGAAATTTTACTCAATTTTTTATCGGATAGATGATGGATTTGCAACCCACAAGAACACCTACTAGCGGGGAATTTCAAAAAGACTGAATATTTACTTTAAATTAAGTGGGCTTTGAAAATGGATCATCAAAATCACATGTGTTGAAAGTTACATTGCTGAAATTATTATTCATAAAAATAATATGTAGGGCGGGTGTCTACAAAAGGTGTCACATTGAATAGATTCAACTTTTTATTCGAAATAATTTAATGGTTTTCATCATGTTCATACTCAATAAAAAAAACTGTGCAGCAAAATTTGAAACATTTATAGCAAAATACATTAGCAGTTTAACTTTGATCGCTTAACAAGATGTTTGTTCCTATATTTTAGGCTCCACCATTTTAAATTATAAGCACAAAGATTAAAAAAAAAAGTTTAACAAATGGAGAGATCACCATACATTCTCCTAGCTACTTATTATACTGAAATCTTTTCAAGTTGTGATGAGACCAGACGTGTATGAATGACAGTTCAACTTCTAGGAACAAATTAAATATTGAATATCTATAGAGTGTAATGTTACCACGTGTAACCCTATTACCTAACATTTATTTCTTTGAACACTGATGTTACAACATTGACCTACTAGGCTAATTAACACTGCATCTGTGATCGATTTTACTTAAACGAAGGACGAAATAGACAATGGAGTTAAATATTGACAAGATATTCACCGTACATAATAGTATAACTTAACCACTACATCAATAACATTCTGTCATTTTGAAACAACTAATGTAAATATGATATATTTTACAAAAAAAAAAAAAAAAACAACAAAAAAATAAAAACAGGGGCCCGTTTTACAAAAGAACTTACGACTAAGAAAAAAAAATTAAATTGTTTGCAAAATTTTTCAAAGTTAATGATTCTGTTTAAAATTGCTGGTGTAAAAATATTTTACTACATTCCTTTTAAAAAGATTAAAATCATTTTCTATATAATAGAGAGGTTGAGATTTCATACGTGTACGTGTACGTCTAGTAGGGGAATTACCTAAATTTCTCGCGTATTACGTCATCAGTTTTGGAGTTGATAAGTTTTCTTACACGTTCCTACAACTTGTAAAAAGGCATCTACACGTAGGTGTTAACTTGTAGCTTTTTCAATAAAAACTAGTCAATTTATGTGTGGAACTGTTATTGCTGTTCATTATTTATGATGTTAAGTTTCATGAACACTTATTTTAACCATGTTTTGTTCACTAACTAAAGTCAAACTAATGTCACAAAACTACTAAATAGTTGAAACAGAGACATCCATTGCAGTCTACACGTTCGAGTTACACGTCATTAAAATCTCAACAGACAAATTACAAAAAACGTGTACGTGAACGTCAAAGTTTGTGCACACGTACCCGTACACGTACATAACTGTATGAAATCTCAACCTCTCTAATGTAAATTGTAAAGTTATAAGCAAATAAAAATTTTGTTCTTAGTCGTAAGTTCTTTTGTAAAACGGGCCCCAGGACAATTAATATGAAACGATTGTTTATACCAAAATTTGTGTAAGGAAAATGAATACACTACCAACTAAATGTACAGTTAAGTTAACGCCAAAGTACAAACACGATTAATGTAAAAACTAAGTTAGAAACCACCAATATGATATTGTTGTTGCAGGTAAAATGCACTAGCTTAATAGAAAAAATGAAAAAGTTTTAAATACATTTATTTGATCACTTTTTTCCAGTCATTCACCATTGTTCACATTATTAAGGTATTGGTTATCCTATGAGGCAATGAAAACTCTCTTTTTGTGGCGCATTTTCTCTCTTAATTCTCTCTCAAAATTTCCAGTATGATTATTGCACAGTCGACATCATTTATTTTCCCAATGCTGCCTCTAACATGATGGAAAAAGACACAACAATACTGAACAACAGGTATATTACGAAGAAAACCCTGTCTAAGGCCACGGCAACTGAGGACCAGTCAACACTGTTTGGTTCCCTCTCCTGGTTGGCCAGGATTGAGGCACTACATTCTTTAATCTCCCTCAATATTTCTAGTAATTGTCCCTCAAACCCCACAATGAGAGGTTTCTGTTGTTTTTGGCTTTCATTGTCAATATATTGACGATGCTTACTTTCTTCTTGGTGAGGAAAATGGAAAATGTTTCCTTTTCTTTTATAACGTTCGATGTACAAATTATCCTGAAAAAATAGACCATATAGATTATACAATATTGTTTCTTACCAGTGAGTGATTAATGTATGTGTGTTATTTACAAGTACATTTCCTGCAAAGAAATTGATCACCTTTTGAATACCATTGCATGCTGCATCTACCAAAATGAAAATAAAAAACCAAAATTGAAAAAAATAAAGCCTTTTGACGCAGTAAAGCTTGAATTATCAGTTTCTTTTTATACATGTATGAAAAATACACAAATTTCATTAAAATATACAGTAATTACTGCGGTATATGCGGATTTTGTGTAACTAAAATGTCATTATTTAAATGTCACTTTATCTTTGAACATTCAAGAATTCATAAGTTACTGTATTAAAATTACATTTTTGTCGTGGTCATATTGTGCATACACACAAGCTATCGTCTGCAGTGGCTTGATGACGTATTTCCTGACTCTTGAGGACACGTGACCGCTGTTCTTGTAATGTATGTTGAGAACCAGTACAGTCATCAGACAGGACAAACCAACCAAGATCATCGAAACAAGGAAGTAAATTGCTGGAAAGGAAGAGAGGGATGATTACTGCAAGGAAAATCTCTTTCACAATTTCTCCGAGTCATTATTAGTAATACATGAATTTAATTTGCTGTCAACAGTTTTTTTCTTTCAGTCTCTGGACATTCAAACTTTGAAAAATTGAGCTAATTCAATAAATGAAACACAACTTTGATTTTAGGTTGCATAACGCCTAATGACTAATTTACAGTATGCGAGGTCGAAATCTTCATAAATGAGTTGGGAGAAAACAGGAGTAAAAAAGATATATCTTAAGAATCCACGGAAAACAAACCTAATAAAGGAGGGTTTTCTCCAGACGCGGGAATCATGTTTACGATGACCAGCTGAAAAACAGCCAGGGACAGAAGGACAGTGATCTCCAGATTGACCTTCTCCCCAGCCTCAGGGGGCAGGATAAAACCAAGACCAGCCGTAAAGGACACCAAAAAGCACGGAAATAGCAGGTTCATGACGTAAAATAAAGGTTTTCTCCGCAATCCCAATATACACTCCATTGTTGGGTAGGAAACGTCACTGTAGTACGTGACGACACTGGTGGCGTCCGCTCTCGTGACGTCCCATTCCGTGTTGTTGACGTAACTAGACATATCTAGGGTCGAACTCTTGTTGACGATGTGCACCTCTGCCCCAGTGTAGATCCACGACCCAAACACAAGACGACATTCCTGGGTATCAAACGGAAAGTGATAAACGTCGATGGCACAAGACGTCCGGACACTGGAGGGAAACTGATATTGTACTCGGCCATCACTGTGCACGATGGCTCGATAATCCTTCATCCCCGGGAGTCCCTTCACATCAGTTCTAATATTAGATCAAAAGAAATATCATAGAAATATTTTTATGCGTATGCTTGTGTACTTTGCTTCTGTCTTTTGGCCTAGGATCATGAAATAAACCTGGACTTCCGTAAAAATTTCAATAATCTGTAAAATGGTTGTAGCTATAAAACAAAGCTTAAAATGTGCATAATAACAGCAGTCTGACTACTCACAGGCCCGTAGGAACCGGGGTGGGAGTCGTGTCCCCTCCCAATAATTTTGCAAGTATATACAGTTCATTAAATACAATAAATATATATAGGAAATGAAGATAAGTTACAGTTGTGCACCCTCAATAATTACGCCCGATGACTTTTTTTGTTAGGAATGTTCGTAAGGTAGCCCCCCCCCCCCCCCCAAAAAAAGAAAACTAACTTTGTTAGGTTGCTCACCCTAACCTGAAATTGCTTCTACGTGCCTGAGGAATTCCTATAAACATATTTATTTTTAGAACTATATCATTTCGGCGCAATGTAAGCATTTCTGAATAAATTATTTCCTGATCCTGGGCCCTGGTCTGATAGATTGCTTTGCTTTTTGTAAGTACATAGGTATATAAGTTATATAATAGTGTTTCTGTTTATATTTATAAGTTTATAAGAATGATACATGTGACAGCGGTGAATAGGTAAGGGAGCGTTCTCGAATAAATTATTCTCTCTCTCTCTCTCCTGATACCATACGTGTCATAAAGTGTAAGATCAGGGATCCAAATTTTGTCCTGTGGTACAGCAAGCCTGTCGATTCCGTTATAGTGGGACTTATTCCATCTTAATCTACAGTCAATCCAGTCCTGAAATGAACTCAATGTTAGCTGCACTTTTCACTGAATGACAACTTAATAAATACACCGACATGTTGATTCTATCTTACGGCGAGCGTGGGATTCCTCGTTAATTTTGTCAGAATTCTGAAGTTTGTAGATAATTAATTTCACAGGTAAAATGGAGACATTGTATGACTGTATACACAAGATAATGATTAAAGTAAAGCATTACCACCCTCATCCAGACCGTCACATCAATGGTCTGTTTGGGTTCATTCTGAAACATGAAACATTTTAATATAAATTTTCTTCCTCATCATATTTTTTTATCACTAAGAATTAATAAAAACTAACACTTTGACTTTGTTGACATGTACATATTGGTAATTAAAAATATTTGATGATACTTTTGACATCCTGCGTCTGTTTACACATTAAATCAAAGCGTATTTGGTCGACCCCAACCCCACACCAGCAAAAGAGGATTTTCAAAATACATAATTATGTCATAGCTTGAGCTGACACCCCCCGAGCACTTGTAGATTGATCGATTTTATATTGTTTTAAAAACCTTTCCAAAATGTTTTTCACTCAGATGAGACATGCAAATACCGAATAAGGGCTCCAAATTTAGACCCTTACTCGGCACATAGGATCTTTGAGTAAAAAATTAGGTCTGTTTAGAGTGCTAATGCCTGCTGAGACACGATACCTCGGTTTTCAACAGTTTAAGGACCCAAAACTTTTATTTCAATGGCACGAAGGAGTAGTTGCTACCTATTATTATATAGAGGTTTATTGCGACCAGAGCTCGAACCCATGGTCTTCCAACTACGGAGCGAGCACTATAATAAAACTCTTCTAGACTCCTTGCCAGATAAGTGCAAAGTGTAACAAAGACAAACAATATATAGACACCGTACTGAATACATGTAGATGTTCAGTTGAAATAAATAGTCGAGATTTTTAAACAAACTCTGAGTTTAACAGATGATTACATAGATGTACATGTGTAACAGATGATTTACCAGATCCACAAGCTGTCGGACCCCCAGGTCTATAGTGACCACTACAGATTTATTCTGTGTGTCATCACAGTACGGCCGCACCTCCTTCTTGTAAGTCTGGAATACCGAGGTAACAAGGTCGTCCAGGAGGTACGAAAATCCAACTGAATAAAAAAATTACCATATTGAAATTCCAAGGGTTTGATAATATTCAAAGTTCCACTGAAGTCTCATCAATGATCTGAAAAAATTTGGATGGACGACCATGTCTATCAATATTTTTTTTTTTGTTTTCAGCTTTTATTTAATTCATTTATTTATTTTTTATTTTTATTTGTTTTTTATTTATTCATTTTTTTTTTGGGGGGGGGGGGTACAGTTCTGCAACTAATAAAGCCTCAGAGCTTGACGATTTAAAATGTGACAACGTTTGACTGTTTGTATATAAAAGATTAAACTTAAAATATTAATGTAATTCAAATAAAATTCAAATCCGGATGCTCCTGTTACATGCTTCTCTATGCAACCCATGTGTTAATTTTCAAATAGTATAATTTTGAAGTAAAATATTTTACATCCTGACACAAGTCCTAATTTGATAGATTAAATGATCATCAACTTTTGTTCTAAATGAAAGCCAAATCACGCGAGCTTGGGAAAGGATATCAAAATGTCTGCAGTTCAAGTTAGAAATTGTAAATTCTTAAGTACTGAAGTACTAAACTCTTTAAATACTGTAAGATTAATTAAAAATATCATTTTTTTTTTTTATTTTTGTGTAAATTCTAAGAAAATGTAATTTCTTATCTCGGTTAAATCCAAGAAAAAAATCCGCCATAACGATATATATTTACATGTCGGAGAAGTGCTGTCAGGGGCGGAGAAGGGGGCCTCAATATCAATATGGAATCTGAGAAATATATTGAAAATACACCTAGAAAATTCTTGCAGTATTAAATACTTACGTAGTTTCATACAGTAATTATCATGGCCAAACAGAATACAACTATATTCAGTGGCAACGGTACATCAGGGGAAATATAAAACTTCGTTTATCTTAGTTTTTCTTTAAAGAAAATTTTATTTTGAAGTTTAAAAAATACAAAAATGAAGTAATAAATTGTGAGTAAAAAATACTCAAAATAAAACTCACCAGAGACGCAGAGCTGACAGAAGAAAAGAACTCTACAAGCTTTTTCAACTTCCATGTCCGAGAAATTAATGCGAGGGTCTTAACTCCTGACGAATCAATTTTAATCCATGTAAGCAAACAAATAAATTCACAAAGCTCTCGCGGATTGAATTTGTGTAAATTTGAGTAGCATAATAAATTGATGGAAATTGATATACCTGTTTGGTCAGCCTCGTGGACAAAAATAGCACCAATTGTAATTTATAATGCGTGCACTACAGTCTTCTTTATAGAAAATTAATTAGATTAAGGCTTATTGTCTATAAATGTAATTTGTCCAAGTAGTTCGTGTCCTTTAATTAAGGAATAATGATAAAAATTCACCTTCACTACCCGCAAACATAAGGTGCAGTTGTTCATAAATGAGTAATTTTCAGGATCAACTCAACCTTCTAAACGAAATGAAATCAATGGACTCTATAATTCCTGTGCACATCTGACAGATTAAACATCGATTACATGAATAGTTTTTCCTCGCTAATCAATATGCCTTTTATTGACATAGCCACCTTCTCCTATACTGGATCTCCTGTGTAACTCGGTATACAATGGTTCAGGGATAGAGCTGATAGATGTATGCGGAGATACGAACACAGAACGATTCGGGGAGGGGGGGGGGTAGGGGACCGAACCCTCCTGAGATTATATTGTAAAGGAACAAAAAACATGACTTTAGACCCTTACCATCACCCTGCGAAACATAGGCAAATTGTAAAGAGGGTCATATATAAGGAAAGCCACAGGGGACCCCTAAGTTATACAGGGGAAAAATCCATTTAAACGATACAAATCGGGAGAAGAGCAAACACGGACCTCCAAAAACAGGAGAGGAGGTATCTGCCATGGAGGAGTAAGCATCCCCTGTCGACCTGTCACAACCGCCGTGTGCTCCTTGTCATGATCGGATAATCAGAAAAATCCGTACAAATTTCAGTGTTTAAATAATGGCCCAACAATAAGTATGAAAAAGTCAGTCAGCATTGGACCTAATGATAGATGGTATCAATTTTGCTGATAAGGTTATTGTATCGACCATAGAACTTGCGAAATGATGACTTCAAACGAGACTGTTGATATCCTTGTTTCATCAACTTGTTGGTTAATAGCTTGCCTCGTTTTAAAAATTGATCGTACCTAGAGCATGTTCTTGCGTATCGAATCAACTGGGAGACATAAACCCTTTATGCAGGTGATAAGGATAATTTGCTATATAAGTAAGAGAAGTTAGCGATAGAAACTTGAAGTCATCACATTTATCATAAAGTTTTGCAGATCTACCTTTTGATTTCCCAATTACATGTATCGTGCTTACATGTAGTATAAATTTGATCATAGGGTTTGTAACATAGATTCTAGGTTAAAGCGCATGGTTATCTGTATTGAAGATTTCTTACAAAAGTATTATAGAAATCGTTCCATCTTTTCTTTGCCCCCCCCCCCCCCCCCACAGCCTTTTGAAAAATTATTTTGCTTGCATCTTTTGGATACTTCTAACTAAGATAGAAAATAAAAATGTTGACAAATGTGGATCATCTCTGTAGCGTTCATTTCTTCACTGTAAAACCATGGACGTGATATTCCGGGATTGTTTAGTTTACCCTAACTATTTTATTCTTTATTTAATGTAGAAGAGATCCGGTGTTGTATTGCATAGAATTTTTGTATACCACAGTATGACAGTACCACTTTACGGTATTTGACAAATTTTTATCATCGTAGTCATTTATATATTGAGTTGGGAAATGCATAACAATTAGTATCTCAACAAAAACACCCTGATTATCTGTATTCATCACAAAAGATTAACATTGATATAAAAATCTGATCCACTGTAGTGGCAGATCCAGAAGTTCATGTGGGGCAGTTTTGAGACCTGAAGTGGGAGGGTATGGGAGAGGGTTTCCCCCTTCCTCTTAATTGTAATTTATAGTATCTGTCACATTACATAGTTCTTGTTGGTTTGCCATTACCTTCAAAATACATTTGGTTTAAATCAACAGTGATTTTTTTTG